GCAAGCAAATTTCTCACAAACTAGATTCAGATAAAATTCAGATGCTATGTTTGGCTCTTAATCAGTACATATAGTTCGGATGTCATCCTTGCTGCTTGTGAATAAGCTTTCCAATGTTTTAAATGGTAATTTTATCAGTCCGCACAATTGTGACCCAGTAAGTCAAAGAATGCCAATCAGCCTTATCAATGGACAATCAGTTAGCTCCATCTGGCCCACAGGGCTTTCAAGAAAATCTGCTGTGATTTTCCAGCAGAAAATTAAAAAAAAAAACTCCTTTAAAAGTAAAATAGTCAAACAAAAATGGAAAAATTGATGAACTGCCAAACATGGCTGTTATTGCCATGTTATATTGCCTGTTATTGCTATGTAATTGCATAGAACTGCAGAATTGTGGGACATGTAGTTCTATACCTCTAATAAGCATCTACTGTCAATGACTATTAAATATAGTCACAAAATATTTTACAACATTGCAAGCCCAATGCCTGGTTTAGAAAAATGGCCTATGGGTGTTCAAATTAAAATAAGCCAAGGGAAGGATTTATTCATTTTTTTCCCTATCATTTTCAGATTATGTTTGAGACATTCAATGTCCCAGCCATGTATGTTGCTATTCAGGCTGTTCTGTCTCTCTATGCCTCTGGACGTACAACAGGTAAGAATGAGAAACTGCTTTGGTCTTTATAACATGAATGAGAGTGAGTTGACTTGAAGGCAATCAAAACCTGTTTTGTGTTACCTCAAGGGATTGTGCTCGACTCTGGTGATGGTGTCACCCACAATGTGCCAATCTATGAAGGCTATGCTCTGCCCCATGCTATCATGCGCCTGGACCTGGCTGGCCGTGATCTTACTGACTACCTCATGAAAATCTTGACAGAACGTGGCTACTCATTTGTTACTACTGGTAAGGAAATTACATATGATCTTCCCTGACATAGAGCTTTATATGCTCCTACTGTGTATTATAAAACAAATTATTTTTCAAACATTCTCATAAGGAATCCAATTTATATATTTCCTGATGTAAAATTTGGTACATATTATCCATATTTCAAAAGAGTGGCCTAGAGACTGGATTCAAACGGACTGTTGTTGGCAGTCAGAATACAGACAGATCACTGAACTTGTTCCTTGCATAAGCTGGTGCCAAATTCTCTTTAGAGGAAAATGTGTTGCCTTTTATACTGTTTTCCTGACAAACCCACAGCTTGTTTCTCGGAAACCTCAAGAAAAAAAACCCCTACTTACATTTTGAAAAAAATGGAGCAGAAATTGGCACTTATCCAGATGCAATAAATTATTTTATGCAAAGAGTAATTTTAATTATACCGTAGTTTGGCACAGGATGAGAAATTGCATTGCTACGTTTCTTTACATCTGAATCATTGTCTGCTAACCTATGGCCTTTGTGGACATAAAATCAGAATTGTATACTAAAGACAATCCCTGCTGCATCTTACAGGCTTTGAACTAGGGATCCTTGTTCATAGAGGATTGTAATCAACAGTGTCTATCCTAGCGTAGGATAGATTTCTTTTATCCTTATTATCTTATTACTGCATACCAGTTCCAGGGCTTTGGAGAACCTCATCAAGCAGTTTGGTGCTTCAGGGGACTGGAGAAAGAGAAAGAACAAGAAGGGGAAGAAGGGGAATTTTATCACACAGGGATGTTGCTCTCATTTCATGCTGTCATTTTACATGTATCTACTAGCCCTGCAATCAGGAACTCTTCTTTAGGGCATAGAATAGAATGTGCAATTATATATATATATATATAATTGGGGGATATATATATAACTGGGGGATATATATATATATATCCCCCAGCCAAAAAAGCTCATGGAAAAATACTGCTTAAATTTAAATTCAAATATTTAAAATTGGATAGGGTTTTTCTTTTTTAATATTGAAATTTAAATATTGAAATTGAAACACTTTGTAGGAGGAATGGAGAATCTGGAGGTGGAGTTTAAAGAAAGGAATCAGCATAGAATTCTTATGTGGCCACAAGTTCTATTCCCCCTCCCCTTGAATTCTGTGGACCCTTATTTAACTCCAAGCAGGTTTCTATGCCTAAGTTGTTTAGCAATAAATCAATTCAATCGAGTTGAATAAATCAGTTGAAATGGATCTTTCAGGCCTGAATCTGACACTTTGCAATATAATAGCAACCAAATAGTAGCAACCAAATAGTAGGTTTTATTTTCCAAACCTCTAGTTCCTGAACTTAGACAAGCCCATCTAGAATGATTAATTTTGACAAATTAAAGAAAAACAAAATTAAAAATGTTTGGCAATTCAGAGTATTTTCAGGATAATACATTTATGATAAAAATGCTGAATGCTGAATTGGTTTATTTAGTTTCAGTCAGCATAAATATTAAACTACAGCTAAAGCAAACACCACAAGTCTGCATTTTTTTCTTGTATCTGATGGAACAGGAGTTCATGCAGGCATCTCTTCTTCAAATTTCATCCACAGCTGAGCGTGAAATTGTCCGTGACATTAAGGAGAAACTCTGTTATGTTGCCCTGGATTTTGAAAATGAGATGGCCACTGCTGCTTCTTCATCATCCCTAGAGAAAAGCTATGAGTTACCTGATGGTCAGGTGATCACTATAGGGAATGAGCGATTCCGCTGCCCAGAGACCCTCTTTCAACCCTCTTTCATTGGTATGTTGATATATACACATAATGTTATATTTTTGTGTGCTCCAGGTCAGTTTTGGTTCCTGGTGACTGCCTAGACTAGTTCCTGAAGTTTTCTTGCCAAGGCTTTTTGGAAGTGGTTTCTAGTACTGAGAGAAAATACCTGGCCCAATGTTATCCAGCTGGCTCCTGGGAATAAGGCAGGAGTGGAATTCACAATCTCTTTGTTTCTAGCCTGGTGTCTTAACCACTACACCATATTGGCTCTAGTCTTGATCTACACAATATCTATCTATCTATCTATCTATCTATCTATCTATCTATCTATCTAT